GACGCGTGACGTTTGTCTAACAATAAGTACTTACTACACGCGTTCCCGATGAGCATCCAGGTTACGCATTGCTCAAGTCTTCTCATATCTGGTCGTTGGATAGTCGAGGGCAGATTGCGAGCCGCGTAAACTGTGATTTACCTCATTATACTCGCAACATCTAATCTTTTACGCAAAAACATCGCGTATGTACGAATCGCTATTGCGTCATGCATTCTGGTAGTCGCTATATTCTGCTTGACAAGATATTCACTCTTTGCAGTTTCCGCTGTTTTCACTTACAAAAAAATTCTGCTAATGGTTTTACGTCCTCAATTTTTTTTTTATCTTTATTCAATATCAAATTAATTCACTTCTTTTACGTGTATATAATTTTGACAAGCTTAAATTTCCTTGTTGCAGACACGTTAAACTAATATCCATATTTAATTATGACAGTATATTAAGAAAAAAAAAGTTGTTAACTTGACTAAATGCGTTCAACTGATTACTATTTCTTTAATTGAAATATTTAAGTATTTAGATTAAATACGATACTTTAAATCTAATATGACATATTTAACTTAAGTACTTAAATATTTCAATTAAAAAAATGATGATCAGTTGAACGCATTTAGTCAAGTTAACAACTTTTTTTTTCTCAGTGTAGGAATGCAGCTATTATGATGTAAGGTATACTTTTTGATATGTCTCTGACATCTCCGAGATTGCACGCGTTTCGATAATTGTTGTGCAGTTTTTATTATGCATGGCAGCTCTGGAAGAGATGGGGAGGAACAGTGGCGATCCCGATGATCCCAGCGTGGAATGATAATTGTAGCCTATTCTTCTCGAGTTTCGGCGCTGCTCCAGGACTCCTTTCGTTCCTTTTTTTTTTCCATGCCTCCTCGTAAAGCACGTAGCGTTGTCTCGATGCGGCGCGTTGCCGGCCCCGAAAGAACTGGTTCTCCCTCCGGGAGGGTGATTAAACCCGGTGCAATGCGTGCATTTAGTGAAACATCACACTGGAATGCAAACACGCGTGTTGGTATGGGCTGGAAAGAGGGGTGTGTGCTGCCTGAGGGCAGAGAAGAGAGCCGCGCGCCGGAATTCGTACGAATTCCTCACCGCCCCCGGTGGCGGGATGCATTTTACGGTATGTATGGCGTGATGCACCGGCCGGCCTATGAAGATCGTCCTGGATATCCGTGACACTCCGTGTGAAGCACAACACATATGATACACATACACACATGTTTGCATATAAAAAAAATATATATATATAATTTTTTTTATTATTATACCTATATCAAAACGTAAGCTATTATTCAGCATTATTATTTATATTTGTATCTACAGTCTTTTATCAAGATATATTTTCAGTGCATGTTTATATCTTACAATTAGTTACACAGACATCTCAGAATTTTGTTCTTCTATTATTTGAAAAGATTACGTATATGTTTGTCTAATCGATTGTCATCGATTATTGATAATAAGGTAAAATATAATTTGTATATTGCGATCAATTTTGATATTATCTTATATCATTAAATTATTCGATTTCTATATCTACGTATTCTAACATCTTACATCTGGTAACAGCTAGCTTATACAAATAAACTATCGCCGACGAAGAAATTGCGCGCGATGGATAGCCGTTGAAAACGGTGCACGCAACGCGCTGCGTTTCGCTCTGATTCCGACCGCGTGAGAGATCTCGGCATAATTTCGCTTCGTCGTCGTTGTAATGTCGGGCGAAAATCACACACTGCCATTGATTTATTATTCCGGCGACGCGCGGGACGAAAGTGAATCCGTTGGCATTGGGCTAAGGCCCATTCAGACGGAATAATTTACAAACATATCGCGTGAGGACAATCAGCTCGAGTTTAACTAACTTGGAAATTTGCTCTTTTTGCACTCTGCTATTTTTTCTTTCTTCATCCAATAATACTTTTCTTTATATTTTATTAAAAAAAATTATTCTCGAAGGTATCTTAATTAATAAATATTTGTGTTTAAATACGTATTTTTATATTGCAATAAATTGCAAATAATAACACAAAATTATAATGTTGCAATGTATAAGTAATGGGTATAAATTATTCAAAGAGATAATATACATACATTTCATGTAATCTCTCTTCATTAAAATAAAATAATTTTTTTATTCAGAGCGCATTCCTTTTAAATTGCCCTTTAAATTTGCAGCTGCGCGGCTACTGGCATATCACCGCTGCGCGTCGCACGTGCGTCTCCCGAATTGCGTGCAGAACTTGTTAATGAAATACAATCGTTGTGCGCGGCGAACACACGTAGAAGGAGAAAAGAGATCCTGAAACACAGATCGCGCGTGCAAGAGAATCGCCTCGGGCTGGTTTCACTGCCAAGGTGTCGAGATTCACTGACAATGAGACACACAGAAGTAGACTTTAAAGCTAAGAAAACGATGTTGAATCGAAATACTTTCTCGACTAACGCAGAATATTCAATATAGCGACATTTTAAAATATTTAAAAATATGAATGAAAAAAATAAACTGAGGGGATAGAGAATATGAAGCGTAAAATAAAATTTGCGATTAATCAATCTTGATTTCTTCTCTTACATCGTTTTAATTTCGATGATATTTTCCGAATATCGGAATACCGCAAAATGATATTATGTAAGTTATTATGTAAGTATTTTGATTTAACAAGATGTATATTCTAATTATTCAAAGGTTTCTCTTGAAGAAATATACAGACTTTTGGCCCACTCTGTATACTTTCAAAAATAAAATTATTATGTGTCGCAAAAAATATGATTTGTGAAAGGATATTGCTTCGTTAGATGTGTAATGATTAATAATATCGTGATACTATCATATATTCCGAGAGTATATACACACAATTTTGTGTAAATAATATATATTGTTTATATATATATAAGCAGTAAATTATTTAAATTATAAAAAGAATTTATAATTATTTTTGCAACGCATACGACTGCATTAGACATACCTATCAAAAAAATAGATGCATAAAGAATAAGAAAACATACGGCAAATTACATGGCTGACATTCTCATACATTTGCTTACAATGTTCATTAACATCTTTTATTAATGTTTCTTAACAGTTTTAAATAGCAACTGATTAGAAGCGAGCAACATAAAAGTATTGTTCAAGGTGATCCTACGCGGACATTGAAATTATATAATCCTATAAGAAGGTTACATTCTTGAGAAACTGGAAAAGATGTTGCGTACTGCAATAAAACCTTTTTTTTTTGTTTAAATATTACAGAAATAATCAATATACCAAGTTTTTTGGAAGCCAGGTGCTTTATCCTTTATTGCAGATACTGCTGACTAAATTGAACTTAAAGAAGAAATGTTAAGACATTACTAAATACGATAATTGTACGACATGAAATTGTAAAATATTAAAAATCATTACCAATTAAATTCTTAGAAATAAATATCTCTCTCTCTTTCTCCATTTAAAAAATATAATTCTAGATAAACTTTTCCTTCTTTAACAGTGATTTTATTTAAAGTTTATGTGTTAGGAATACATAAAATTAAAATTAGAATGCAATAAGCGGAATAAGCGGATGGAATCCTAATTAATTCTAAAGCTCCAATTTTTCAAAAATTCAAGCTATAAATGTGAATAATTTTTCGAAATCTTTTAGATAAAAGTATATTTAAAAAAGCGAGAAACATAGGATTAATTTAAATAAATTTATTAATCTTAAAGATTATGCATGGATCCGACTTAGTAAATTCTCTAATACATCTGTCATCCAGAGGAAAAAAAAAAGATTTTTTCAAGAACTCCACACTTGAATGAAGAACGACGCATCCTGCGTTACGTAATATATTAATCTCCATCGCGAATCCCTGTAATCGCTCAATTACGTAAGTAATTTTCATCGAGACGATCAATTGACGAAATATCAAATTTCTGTCATTACATATAACCGCATATCCAAGCGGTTCGTGTGACGACGAGTCGCATTGTCGATTTACAGTTGCGTTTAGAAATAAGTATCGCGTGCGCCCGTAATCGTCCTATCATCTAGCCCTCTATTTTAAGCGCTGCGCTTCGATCGGGTATCACAAACTATATCGAGAACGCCAATTAAGATGCAAATGACCGGTCGTAATTTACGGATGATAACAAGCGTTGTCAAGATTACATTTAAAATTTTAGAAGAGAGCGAGAAAGAGAGAGAGAAAGAGAGAGAGAGAGAGAGAGAGAGATGACGACGAGTCGCATTGTCGATTTACAGTTGCGTTTAGAAATAAGTATCGCGTGCGCCCGTAATCGTCCTATCATCTAGCCCTCTATTTTAAGCGCTGCGCTTCGATCGGGTATCACAAACTATATGGAGAACGCCAATTAAGATGCAAATGACCGGTCGTAATTTACGGATGATAACAAGCGTTGTCAAGATTACATTTAAAATTTTAGAAGAGAGCGAGAAAGAGAGAGAGAAAGAGAGAGAGAGAGAGAGAGAGAGAGAATTTTTTTATATGTATGTAGAGAGAAATTCAACTTATATTCCTTTAATAAAAATTAATTAAAGAGTTTTGTTCAGCTTGTAATTCTCTCAAGAAAATGTAACAATAATCATAATAAATCGTAAAAAAAATATAATGTTTCTTTTTCTAAATTGTTAAAAATTGGTATAAAGTAGAAATTAAAATATATTAGGTTGAACGAAAAGTTCGTTCCGTTTTTTTACTAACAGATGAAGACCAAAAAAACGACATGAACTTTCCATTCAACTCAACGCTAACAAGCTTGTTTACAAAGGCAGTAAATGTTTTTCTTAAAACGTACTTGTTATGATCCCCAATATTTTCGCCGTTTTAGATATCATTTTATTATTAATAATTATTTTCACGCAATTTTTTTAACAAATCACGCGGATATCTATCATTTTTATATACTTACATCACTCAAATATATAATTTAAGGAATCTCAATGATTAATTAAAACGATTAATAAACAGCAAATTGTACTCACCGTGGCAGACGGCGCCGAGAGCCAACAGGACGATCCAATGGGTGATCATCTTGGAGATCGCGTGGGACATCATCCGCGGCAACGACGGTGCATTTATCGCTGCACGTGTGCGACAAACTGTGGCGACGATGAGACGGAGGCGTCGGCTGTCACAGCGTGCGATGCCAAACGTCGTGGCGCACGTGTTGTACTGCCGTTCACGTGCGATGCTCACGTGCGACTTGCACCCGCGATAGCGCGATGACGCATGTAAGGGCGTCCCCCTCTTTGTGCCTCGCTAGAAATACGCGTGTTCTCCGCACTGACTTCGATTTCTGGTCGCTACCTGACTACCTGGTCAGGTGTTGGATGCCCGTGATTTCGTTGACCGATCGATCGACGCAATATTCTCGTTCTTGGAAATAAAATACCCGATTTTGCGGGATGAAATCGGTGTCGAGACCTCTTATCAGACGATTCGCTATATCAAACGGATAATGGAGAATATTATTATGTCGTGCTAACAATGTTTATAAACACAAACGTATTTATAATCATTGTAAGCGTGATATTACTAGAAAATTTAATCACTAAAAGATATATAATTTTAATTTTTCTGATAGATTCTTTGACAAATATAAAGTTGATTTTGTTTTAGGAAGAAGTTTGAATGAGCCATCTTTTATGATTTTTTAATATTATATATTTTTTAATACTAAATATTAATTATTTTTTAATACTAAATATGCTATAATGATTTTTAAAGTTCTGAAACAACACAATACACTTTAAAAATAGACATATAAAAAATATAAACTATAATAATGAAACATTTTATAATAATAATAAAATCTAAAATTAATAAAATCTAATGTTAAAATTAAAAAAAAAAATAGAGATTATTGGATAGTTTATATACATAAGTAGAATAAATGAAAAATACTTTTGTACGTTTCGTCGAAAGAAAAAACAAGAATATTACTTTCATTTCGCTTTCCTATTTCTCGCATAGTTAAGACATGTGTTGGATTTTGCTCAATCTATTTATACGATATCTATGCATATAAACTTTTCTATGTGTTTGAATTATTCTGCAATAGAGCTTGAAAATTGTTCCGTTGAAATGGACTCGCGCGAAGGCGGTGATTTATGGAGCGATCGATGGAAAGAGGAGTAGTGCTGCACAATGAGTGCTTCTAATCTTTTGCGTGTAAAGCAAGATTAATTGCCCTAAACCTATTTATTTTATCGCTTCTTTAGATATGATTTTATTTTATGGCAGAAAAACATTATTTAACCTTCCAACTAATGCGTTGTAAAAAGAATTTTATTACTTTTTGTTTTTTCTAATAACACTTTATCTGTAATATTTTATAGAATAATATTTGTAACATTTTATTTAACAAAAGAGCCAATAATATTGTATCATAATGTTTAGCTTGTGTGCAAACTTTTTTTATAGTAAAAATTTGATTGTGATTTAATTTACTGAATTTTATTTATTATGCAAGAAAAAACTGAAATTGATTTATATATATATAT